ACATTTTGAGCAAATAGTGAGCTATTTGGAGTTTCTGGACTCAAAAGTAAGCGGATCTCAGATTTTGGAAGAATTCTGAAGCAGAGTGGAACACTAGGAAGCTTGTTTCCATAGGAGAGCATCGAGGATCAAAGATTCAAGCAAAAAGGCAAGCGGAAGGCAATTCTGGAATTTCAGAATTCCACATGGAGCTTCGCCGCGGCGAAGAAAGTTAACTCACGAGATCTGTTTTTACTTCGTCTGCAAATTTCAAAACGCATAGTTTTACTTTTCAGCAATTTCTTAGGTTTTTGGGTGAGGTATAAAAGAAAAAACTTAGTCTTTTTGAAGGGTTCATTCATTTTTGGATAGACGGCAGTTTTTACATATTCTTAAATTGAATTTGAGTGATTTTTGATAAACAAAAAAAGTGAAGATTCGAGGTGAAACCAATGGATTCGTCAATTGGGGAGATTCTTTTCCTTTTCTCTTGTTTCCATGATGTTGAACTTTGAATTTTTCGTTCTTTTAATTGTATTATTGATTTAGACATGAACTAACATATTTTGGGTTAGGGTTTTGATTGTAATTCGGAATTTCATGGGTTAATTGATTGAATGATTGTATTTTCATATGAACTTGCTTGATTGTGTGAATACTCTGAATTTATTGTTTATATGTGATGAACATGATGAGATTGAGAAATGAATCATGTTAGGCTTCTTGGGTAATCACCATTGTAGTATTGGATGCTAGAGATAGATTCAAGAACCAATGAAATCAATCTAGGATTCTTGTGCTTAATGAGCTTAGATTTATTAACTTTCAATTTGTTGGGTGCGGAAGGTTAATAGGGAAGAGTAGGAAAACATAGCCTGAGAAGGTATGTTGGACACTTTAGAGAGTTCAATTTACAATAAATGCATGTGAATATGAATTTAGTTTAATTCTTTAGGTTTAACCCATAGAGTCTGAATGAAGTCAAAACCCTACCCGTTTGTTTGAATTGATTTTATCCGTATTTTAAATCTTGCTTTCATAATTTACTTTTATTTTAGTAAATTTTGTTTTAGTTATAGTTTAAATTGCTCCCTTTAATCCAAAAGAATTTGATTGCTTCAACTTGAAAATGGTAGAAAACTTAGTGCTTAGCAACAATCCTCGTGGGAACGATACTCACTCATCACTCTATTACTTGTGCGACTAGTATACGTGCTACATTTGCATGTTGTAGGAAACATGCATCAAGTTTTTGGCGCCCGTTACCGGGGATTGAGTTTTAAGTTAACATTGAGTTTTTCTATAGTTAGCTAGATTGGAGTTTTAATTTTTGTTTTCATCATTTTCTGTTCAACTTTTGTTCTTATTTTCAATTGGTTTGAGATCTCACTTCCCTTTGCTCTTTATGTGTAGTTTATGTGAAGAGCAAGACGTCAGCCAGTGGTTCCTGTTGATCCTGAGATTGAGAGAACCACCAGACGACTTAACAAAGAGAGAAGAGAAAGAGGGGATACAGTGGTTGAATCGGAAGAAATAGCTGTTGAAATGGCAGAACCAGAAAATAGGACACCAAGGGAATTCTTAGTTCCCATGGTTAATGGCAGTGGTTCGAGCATTACGAGACCAGCGGTCCAAGCCAACACATTTGAGATAAAGCCAGCAATCATCCAGATGATCCAACAGTCGGTAAGGTTTAATGGTGATTTGAAGGAAGATTTGAATCAGCATATTGCAAACTTCTTGGAAATTTGTGACACCTTCAAGTCAAACGGAGTGTTAGATGATGCCATTAGGTTGAGGTTATTCTCATTCTCATTGGGGGATAAAGCTAAGGGGTGGTTAATGGCACTACCATTGGGAACTATCATAACATGGAATGATCTAGCATAGAAGTTCCTGACTAAGTTCTTCCCTCCAACAAAATCAGCCAAACTGAGAAATGATATCACATCATTTCTATAAGATGAATCCGAGTCATTGTATGAGGCTTGGGAGAGGTACAAGGAATTGATGAGGAAATGTCCACACCATGGGTTGCCAGTTTAGCTTCAAGTCCAAACATTCTACAATGGACCGCTGGGTAACATGCAAACCATAGTGGATGTAGCATCAGGAGGAGCCTTGCAGAATAAGACACCAGAGGAGGCTTATGAGTTGCTTGAGATTTTGGCAAGCAATAACTATCAAAGACCAAATGAGAGAGCAATATCAAGAAAATCTACAGGTCTTCATGAAGTTGATGCCTTCATAGCCATCTTAGCCTAACTCACGGCACTTCAGAAACAGTTGGGAAGTATGCAGGTAAACTCTATTCAAGCACCTCAACTAACTTGTGATTTTTGTGCAGGAAATCATGTGAGCAGCGAGTGTCAAGTGGGGAACACATTTTCTCCATCATCTTCATCATCGGAGCAAGTAAACTACTTGGTAGGAAATTAGAGGCAACCAAACAACCCGTACTCCAACACATATAATCCGGGGTGGAGAAATCATCCGAATCTGGCTTGGGGAAATCAGAACCAGCAAAATAATCAATGGAACCAAAGGATATTGCCAAACAACCAACCAGGGGTGAGTAATCAACCGGGAGATCCAAGAATGTCAAAGTTGGAGGACATGTTAGGAAATTCATACAGGAGACCACAGGTTTTATGAATGAGACGAGGACAAATTTCAGAAATCAAAGAGCGTCCATTCAGAATCTTGAGGTATAGATGGGCCAATCGGCCGAGAAGCTAAATGAGAGACCGCAGGGTTCTTTACCAAGCAACATTATGACTAACCCACGTGAGCAAGCAAATACCATAATTTTGAGGAATGGGACAGTTTTGGAAGAAGTTGAGCAAGCTGGAAAGGAAGAATCTGAAAAGGAAGTTGATGAAGAGATTGTAGTTGATGAGAAACCAAGCGGTTTGGAGGAAGAGAACAAGGAGAAAGAAGAAAGGCAAAAGAAGAAAGAGAAATTGCCATTCCCTGAGATACCACCAGAGTTGGCACATCACACTCCACCTATGCCTTTTCCTCAAAGACTAAAGAAAAAGAATTAGGTTAAGCAGTTTTCAAAATTTATTGAAATATTTAAAAAATTGCATATTAACATTCCTTTTGCAGATGCATTGTAGCAGATGCCAAGCTACGCGAAGTTCCTTAAGGAAATCCTATCGAACAAAAAGAAGCTAGAAGATGAGGAAACGGTGATGCTTACTGAGGAGTGCAACGCCATTCTCCAAAAGAAGTTACCCTCGAAGCTCAAAGATCCAGGGAGTTTTACTATTCCTTGCATTATAAGAGATATTGCTTTTGATCGTGTTTTATGTGATTTAGGTGCTAGTATTAATTTAATACTTTTTTCTGTTTTCAGGAGATTGGGAATTGGTGAAGTGAAGCCAATGACCATGTCGTTGTAACTAGTGGATAGGTCCATAAAACACCCGAGGGGGATAGTGGAAGATGTGTTGGTGAAGGTGGATAAAATAATTTTGCCGGCAGATTTTGTTGTGTTGGACATGGAAGAGGATAAGGAAATTCCTCTTATTTTGGGCCAATCATTCTTGGCCACAAGAAGAGCACTTATAGATGTGTAAGAAGGAAAATTACTGTTGAGAGTTCAAGATGAAATAGTAAATTTCAATGTCTCTGAGGCAATGAAGTTTCCATCCGAATCGGATTCGTGCTTTAGTGTCGATGTGGTGGATAAATTGGTTGTAGAATCTATTGAAGAAAACACCCCACAATTACCTTTAGAAACGTGTATAGCCAAATCAAAAATAGTAGAGGTAGATGAGTCGGCGAGTAATGAATGTGCTAGGTTGTTAGAAGCACTTCAACCGATTGATGAGAGTCAAAATCTAGAATTTGAGGAGTTTGATTTTGAAAAAGAGAAGGAAAAGGAAAAAAATGAACCTCCAAAGCTTGAGTTGAAACCTTTACCTTCCCACCTCAAATATGTATATCTTAGGGACTCTGAAACCTTTCCGATGATCATTAGTTCAGGTTTGAGTAAATTGGAGGAAGAGCGGTTGATTAGGGTGTTGAGGGAACTGATGCGTGTTTCCTACAACATGCAAATGTAGCAAGTATACTAGTCGCACAAGTAATAGAGTGATGAGTAAGAGTATCGTTCCCACGAGGATTGTTAGCTAATCACTAAGTTCTCTACCGTTTTCAAGTTGGAGCAACCGAAATCTTTTGGATAATTGGGAGCAATTTAACCTATTGCTAAGACAAATTCACTAACTGCAAATTAATTAAGAAAGTAAGATGTAAAATACGGATAAAATCAATTCAATTAAAAAGGGTAGGGTTTTGACTTCTTTCGGATTTTATGGGTTGAACCTAATTCTCCCTAAAATTTATGAAATTCTTAAACAAGAATTGTTTTTTACTAGAGATTAGTAAGCGGTTAGAAATTTACCAATATGAGTTAATGAATATTCATCAAATTGTCATCCTGCCGTTTATTTTAACATTTAAATTTAATAGTAATGAAATTCTATTATTTCAAAAATCTCATAATTTTTTTTTTGAAATCTTTTAAACTTAGGACTAGTTTGAGATTTTTCTAGCTTTAAGATTAATGAACTTTGACTCAACTTTGGAAATAAATCAGTTTTGAAAATAATTTGAAATGTGTTTGGTAAAACATATATTTTAAATGGCTTTGATTTTCAAATTCTATAATGTTATAATTGGTAAAATAGATTTTTAATTATTATTATATATCTAATGACAAAAAAGGACAGTTTTTTTTTTCTCAAAATATTGTATAATTATAAAATTGTATTGTATTTGACAAAAATCAAATGGAAACAAACCAATAAAAGTCTTGTTGGGTTTTGGTCCATGGGAGTATCCGATCTACTTGCGTTTGAGTCGTATTTGCACTTGGGCCGAATTACGTACAAACTCGCAGACCCATCCCATTCAAATTAATGTAACCAGTGATAAATCAAACTATGCCGTATCTGGCCTGCTTTCAAAAAGCCCACCTGGCACGCCACAGCTTCGGCAGTGGTCTGAAACCCGACGGCCCATCCTACATTTTCCTGATGCAGGTCGCGTACATCATCATGATCGTCAACCGTTAGCCGTCGGATCCGTCTCTGAAAAAAATGGTGAATCCACCAAAGAAACAGTTTCTCCTCTTCTCTCTATTCGCCCTCTTCTTCTTCTCTTACTATCACCACTCCTCTCTCCCCATCTCCTCAGACCCCAATCCCTCTTTAACTCAGAACGTTAACGTTTTTCGCAACCATTTTCCCCAAAACTTCACTCTCATTATCAAACTCCTCACTTTCAATCGTCTCAACTCACTCTCCCGCTGTCTCCACTCGCTCGCCGCCGCAGATTATTTATCCGAAACCGTCCATCTCCACATTTACATTGACCATTTTGCCCTTCCTAATAATAATCACTCCTCTGAATCAACTGATTTTTATTTGGAGGAGCCTCGTCGGATCTTGCGGTTTGTCGAGGGGTTTAAATGGAAATTCGGAGAAAAATTTGTGCATTACCGGACGGGAAACGTGGGACTGCAGGCTCAGTGGCTGGAGGCGTGGTGGCCTTCTTCGGATCACGAGTTTGCGTTTGTTGTGGAGGATGATTTGGAGGTTTCCCCTCTTTTTTATAAGTTTCTTCGGGTTTTGATTGTGAATTATTATTATAATTCATCCAATTCTAGTCAATCTATCTATGGAGCATCGCTTCAGCGCCCGAGGTTCGTTCCAGGTACCATTTCATATGTTTTTTTCCCCTGTAAATGAAACAAATTGTGGATCAGAAGCAATAGCTAGGACTTATTTTTTCGTATTGTTGATGTTGTTGGTGAAGCTCTTGCTTTATTTTATGATTGGTGTTATTAGAGAATTAACTGGTAAAATGGAACAAATTTATATGATATCTCATTTCAAAAGAACATGGCATTGATGTGTGAGATCTTTTTTTCTTGTTGTAATGTTGATTTATGAGCTTTAACAACTAGCCAGCTGATGTTTCTTGGAGGATAATATTTATAGCATTTCAAGGGCAGTTTTGAGATTGAATTTGGATGCAATTTTTTGCCTTCAAATTGAGAGAGTGCTGTCTAGTACTGCACTCAATTCTATTTTTTGAAGCTCTAGTTCCTTGTTACCAAGGATTGTGCTGTCGTTTTCCTATTTTAGGTTGAAGACTTTTGCATATAATACAACTTGTCTTTTACTATATTCTTCTGTGATGAATTGCATTGTGTTGTTTTAATTTTAATGTAGTGTGCCACTTGAGTCTTATATATTTTTATATTAACTTTTCATGGAAAAATTATTGATTTTGTGGTTGTTGTCTTGATACAAAAGATAGTTGCTTTATTGATTTGCATTATGGTGCTTCTGTCTTCAGTATAATATCATTTAGAACATTAAACAGATCTATGCACATATGTTAGGGATAGCCAATATTTGATTTGATAAGAATTTTTTTACCTTCTTTATTAGGATTTAGTTTCCTACCGTATTTATTAGATTTCTAGTATCTTACAGTTGATTTCTTTTACCTGTTTGGGGTTGATTAAGAATCATTTTTTTTAACTAGGTTTGTGTTCATTATAAAATAAGGCTTTAATTTGTTGAATTTCCAGATTCTGAATGATTAAATATATAGTAGATTATTAGGCCTAAAGGTTGAGTTGACTGATTAGGACCTCGAGTTTCAACAAAGAGGTCAGAGATTCAATTTCCTTTAGAGTTACCAATTTAACACATAATATTCCACAAGTTTCATGGCTACTAAGGTTCCAAGGCCTAAGAATGACCCTAGCTTACAACTTCGTATGCTCTTGAAAGAGTTTGGAACTTTCTAGATATCAAAAGAGACAAAAATATATAGTAGAAAATTGAACTTCTCTAAATTTTAGGGATTTAGGGACATAAAGTCCTATTTTCTTGTTTAAATCATATTAAAGTTTCTGAATTTAGTTTCTTATCGGAGTATTCTAGCATGCCTCTTGATTAGAATTTGGCGACTGTAAATAGGGCCATATTCTTTGTTTTCATATAGACTTTTAAATTGATTATTGTTTTTGAAAATCGATTTTCTTTCTCATTTCTATCTGGTTTTTCTTATTTCTAATTCTTCTATTTTTATCTAATTTCTTTCCCTATCTATCCCCCAACATCTCTCTTTCCTTTTTATTATCTTCCCATTTCATATCATACTGTGTCACTTGACACCTTTCGTTTTGATAGAAAGTATATTGCATGTGTGTTTCTTTGCCTTCTCATGACCTTTTCATTTGTGATCCCATGGTGTACATACCGTGGGCTTGTTTAAATTTCTAGGACTTTCATATTATGAAGATTTTTCTATTTTAAGTTTATTTGGTTGCTGACTCCAGGTAAACATGGAAGCAAGATACACCTTGATAGTGGAACACACCTTTTCTTGTATCAGTTGGTTGGAACTTGGGGTCAGCTTCTCTTTCCAAAACCTTGGAAAGAATTCAGGTTTTGGTATGATGAGCACAAGGCCAAGGACATCAAGCCATTTCTTGATGGAATGGTAACTTTTATGCTCAGTTCTTCTTCCCTTGAATATTTTAAAGGCTATAGAATTGGAATCAAAGTCATATGATTCTTATTTGAAATTGATGTACACAGTAGGTATTTACAGGATTTAAGAAATAATTAGTAAGCTAATCAATCTCTAAAAATCCTACAGCTAATCCTATAATAATAACAAAGATCCTACAGCTAGCAAATGTAAATTGTCAACAGCTATTCTAATATAATTATAGACAACAAATCTTCTGACTTTGATATTTTCCAGCATATTTCTATGGTGTATACTTAATTTTTGCTTGTTAATCAAAAATCCAATTTTTTTTTTTTCAGGTGACAACAGGATGGTACAAGAAGATGGGAGAAAGAATCTGGACTCCTTGGTTCATTAAATTTATTCATTCTCGTGGCTATTTTAATTTTTACACCAATTTTCAGAATGAAAGAGCACTTAGTGTCTCTCACCGAGATGCTGGTGTTAACTATGGGAAATCAGCTGGGCCAGATTCCCAACTATTGGATGAAAGTTCACTTGATTTCAACTTTCTGGATATGCAACCTTTAAGTAATCTGAAATGGTATGATTTCTGTTTCAGAGAAGTATTTCTTGGAAGAGTTGTAAGGAGCATGGATGAACTTGGTCCTGTTCTTCATGCAGTACAGAAACAAGAAACTGTTCTGCTGGTGAGCCTGTTTGGGGCATCTGAAGTGGTCATAAGGAACCTCCTCTGCCACTTTGAGAGGGTAAATATTCGGAACTACTTATTAATAGGCCCTCATTCTGAACTTCTTTTTGATCTTGCAAGAAGGGGACATCCAGTGGTTGATGCAGATCAATTTCTTCAAAATATCAGAGCATACAAATTTATGAAATTTCAAGATTCCAATGGAAGATTTACTAATGAGGTCTTTGTGAAGGCTTATGTAATCAAGAAGTGTTTAGAATTTAGGTACAATTCTTGGGTAGTGAATGGGAACTTGCTTTTTGTTAATAGTGATTTCTTTCTTCAATCCATTGATGCCACGGCTGACTTCTTAGTTGCGAAGAGTTTGGAACTAGTTCACATCAGGAGCTCATCTGCTGTTCAGAAAATCTGGACAGATGATTTTTTGTTTGAAGTTGCTACTATGGTGGATAAAGTTTCTTTACCAAGAGCACGCAGAAGTTTTGCATATATTGTAACAAACTTGTTGGAACAGAAGGGTAGTGTGGCGATTAAGAGGATTGATGAAACAAACTTTGGCATGGTGCTTGATGCTGAAAATGCTAATCGATCCTCTTTGGAGGTTGGGAAGAAGCTTGTTTATTGGTCTACTGAACTGGGGTTGGATATAGTTCAAAAGAGGCTCAAAGAATTGAGTATGTGGATTATAGATGGTGACTCATCTTGCTTAGCTGTCATTTGTCACCAATCATAGCATCTGATAGCTGCTATTTTTTTTTTATTTTTTTTAAACCCACTTAAGATTTGAAATCTTCATTTATACATTACATTTGTATCATTCCTCTTCCCAAAATGTAACGAGACCTGCATGCCCAGAAAACAAGGAGGCTTTGAAGTTGGACATCGCAAATTCTGGCTCAATAAGGATGATGAGATCACCAGGCTTGTTTTCCTATTCCTGCTGGTGAAGAATTTTTGTGATTAATTCAGAAATTCAAGTATTTTTCATTGGTCTTACACACAATCCAACTTCTCTGAAAAAACTGGAGGAGTGTTGGGGATTTTGGCGTTTGTTGAGTAATCTGGAGCAGAAAACATTCAAAATTTCCACAATTCGCGGTAAGTGTAACATTTCTGATCTATGTGATTAAAATCCGCAGATACTTATGGTTTTTGTGTATGGTACTCTTTATCAGTGGAGTTATTTGAAGTGCTCTGAAAAGAAATACCAGTCCACCAATTTTCCCTTGTTGCATTCATTGTTTTAAAACCTGGATCGGAGGGCAACCCGCCCTGCTATCCGGTTCATGGGTCAACCAGTCCAACCGGTTGGACCGCCGGTTGGACCGGTGATGTCAGCACAGAAAAATAAAACCTGTTTTTATTTTGTATTTTAACATTTTCATTTTTAATAAGACAATAACAACTTAACTATTGTCTAACATGATTCAAAGTTCAAATTCAATAACAATCCCAACATAATTTAAGTATTTAACAACAATCCAAAATTCAAATCCAAACATACTGTTGTGTTCATCTTCATCCATTACATATTAAAATTTAAATGACAAAATACATAATAATTAATAACAAAACATTTGGTGCTAAGTGTTTTTTCTTTGATCCGTCTCCATGTTGATTGAGTTTCATACACTCGCATCAAAATTCATCACCATCATCATCATCATCACCATCATCATAATCATAACCATCACCATTATTTACATAAATTTCGGTAAAAAATAGAAAGCATAAGTTAAAACTTTTAATTTAATTTAAAATAGATATTAAGTTGCTTAAATATTTGAAACCAACCTTCTGAACCATCGGTTGAATCATAAAAAGAGGGGTGATCAGCAACTCCAACTCCAGTAGGGATATGTCATTTTCCATATAACATTTGTTCTAACTCTTCATAATTAAGTTCACTGACCTCCTTTTCATCGTCAACTATCCAACATTCAGTTTTGGCAAATTTGGTGCAAGTTTTTGCTCACACATATCCCTCAAAAGCTTCTTATATTCTTTGGTTGCTTGTTCCCATGCCTCAGTCTCAATCTTCACTTGCCTTCTCTTAAGCATATGATACTTCTTAGACCCCATTTCGTGCCCAATTTTTTTACTTTTTCTCTCAGTATTCACTCCCTCTTTATGCTTTTCTCTCTTCATTTCTTGCAACAACCCCCAAACTTCGTCAACAATTGACACATCTTCTTCAACATCGGTTGAAGAAACAACCTCAGCTACACTCGAATACCCTCTCAGACACAACCCATTACCCCAATTACCATCCTTCAAAACTCCAAAACATGGCCTCCCTAAATAATCCTCATGACTAAAAATCTCACCAACCGGACAAGAACCCAGTTCATGATTTCCGCCAGAACCCAGCTCCAAACATCCAAATTTGCACTGTCCATGAAAAATCGAGTCTTGAGAAAACCCCAGAAAGTTGTAAGCACGTGAAAAGGGTTTTTTACAATCAAGGGAAGAAGATCTCAAAATTGCTTGCTTAGCAAGTTTCTCCACATAACTGAGGAAATATTTTCAGGGTTTCGATAAAGAAGCAGGGCTTTATTTTTATCACAAAGACCCAAGAGATGAAGTTTGTGGGCAGAGATAGGGGCTTTGGTATTGAACATTAATTGAGCTGTCGTTGAGAAATGGAGCTGTTGTCGACGAATGGAGCTGTCGCCATCGATTTCCAGCCAGGAACGGAGCTGTCGTCGTCGTCCAAGAATGGAGCTGCCGTTGATTTCTAGCCAGGAATAGAGCAGCCGTCGTCGTCGATTTCCAACAGGGAATGGAGCTGTCGTCGTCGCAGAGAGTTCAGTTGCGATTTGGTGATTGGTTGCGATTTCAGACTTCAGGGAGTGGAGTTCATTGCGATTTGAGTGGGATTTCAGAGAGGAATTTGCGTAGAGAAGAAGCTGAGAAATCTGAGAAATAGAGAAATGAAATCAGAATGGAATGGGCTTGCGATTGTGTAGAGTTAGGGATTTTTGCAACTTTCAACCGGTTTATCATCCGGTTTTTAAACGATTTAAAGCGGGTTATTATATAATAGCGGGTTTAGTGTTGACTCGAACCGGACACGTGATCGGGTTCCGATCCAACCGGTTGGACCAACTAGTCCGGTTCGGTTTTTAAAACAATGGTTGCATTGAGCTAAATAGTTCAACAAATTTTATATAACTTGCACTAATTTAATTTGTTTTCACTGATTTCCTCATTACTAGATAAATCATTATTTTTCTTTAAAATTCTATTATCTGATGACTTAAGGTTAGACTTGGGCAATATTATATGATTAATATGTGACTTCCACAATGTATGCCCTTTGAACACACCCCTATCACTCTTATCGATTGAATGGTCTGGTGAAGTGTTTAGATCAAGGTGAAGTGTTTATATCACAGCAACGCAAGTGGTCTGTTGCCTCTGACGTTGCAAGAAGTCCATTGAACCTTAACATTTACAGGAGGGAGAAGTTGTAACAAGGTTTCGATTAGTGAATATGCGGAAGGATCATTGTCGAAACCTACCTAGCAGAAGGACTTGTGAACTTGTCTTAACATAAGAGGTATGTAGGCCTTGTGCTTGTGTGCTCCAACTCGTGTCGCGTTGGGTGTTGGTTGTGCATTTTGGCATGAGTCCTTGCCCTCATGGTGCATTAATGAACCTCGGTGTGAAATATAACAAACGATAATGCTTGATGCTTGCTTCCAATTTCACATATTGCAACTAAATTCATATTCTTATCTACAATGAAGAGATAATTAACTTGTACTGAATAGGTCAAATTGTTATGTTGCCTTACAGGCTCTGTTTTAAAAGTCGGACCGGACCGACTGGTCTAATCGGTTCAACCGGGACCTAGTTGTGTGTCCGGTCCAAACTAATATAAAACCCGCTATTAATTAAAAACCGATTAAACCCGTTATCAAACTGGATGAACAGTGTGACCTGCTCGGTCAAACTGGGCAGCTTGGTAAACTAGGTCAATGTTTAAAATGAAAAAACCCTAAATTTGATTTATTTTTCACGCGACTCAACTTCTCCACTCTCTTCAATCTCTCAACTCTCCAAAATCGCAACTCCCTTATCAAATAACTGCACTCGGTCTCAATTTAATCTTTCAACTCCACTCTCCCTTGGACCCTTGCTCGACGACGGCATCACCTCCCTCGCTGGATTTCGACGATAACGCACTTCCCTTCTCCCTTGCTCGATGAAGGCAGCATCTCACTCGCTGGATTTTGGTGATGACGCACCTCCTTTCTCCCTTGCACAACGATGACGGACGACGACGCCTCCCTCCTTCGTTGGAATCGATGACGACAACACTTCTCCTGCTCAAAATCGACGAAGACGATGCCTCTCTCTTTTGTAAAGATATTTCCACTTTTTTTTTTTTTTTGAATCTATTGCTTTGATGGATAATTTGTTCATTGAATTTATATGTAAAAAACACTTGCGGTTTTGTTATTAATTATTATGTATTTTATCATTTGATTTGTAATGGATGATGTTTGGAGACTTAATTTGTACTGGATGATGTTTGGGGACTTTGGATTGTAGTTAAGGAATGTTATTGAGTTTGAATTGGGTAGTAATTAAGTTGGTATTATGAAATTTAAAAAAAAAATATATATATATATATTGTTTTGGCTGTGCTAACATCACTGGTCCAACCTGCCGGTCTAACCGATCGAACTGGTTGACCCGTGACTCAGACAGTGAAGCGGGTTGCCCTCCGGTCTGGATTTTAAAACATTGCTTACAGGTAAATTAATCTAATATGAAACTAAGACTTTCAAATCTCATAAGATCTAATTTCCAATGGACAAGCAAGTTTAGATGATGACTAGGGAGGGCTTATTTTATATATCATGTGAGATCGATTAATTTTAAAACATTTAGCAAAAAGTATTATATATTCTTTGGGATACTGACTCCAAAGTCCAAAGTCCAAAGTCCTCGAGGTTTTCCATTACGTATTCTAAACTCTTGGCTGTAAGAACCTTGAACTCATTACCCAAACATTATGAAATTTATTATTGGAGGATGGTAGAGGCCGTAAATAACTATACTGCCCATGTCTTTTAATTTGTTATCAAAAAATAAAAAATTATATATTAATATTTTCATTATTCAACTAATAATTTATAAATTTTATTTTTTTAAAAGTGTTTCAACAAAAATTTCAATGACAATGAACATCTTATACAGATTTTTAGCAAAAGCATACAATTTTACATGGTTCTTTTTTCCTCTTGCTATAACATACATCAGTTAATTATGTCAACAAGGAAAAANGTATAATCAAATATTATGGAGTTTTAATTGCTCAATTATTGCTTAAATTATTTGCGGAAATAGCTTCAATTAATATTTAAAAACTATTTCTAAAATTAAAAATAAAAAAAATTGAAATTTATTAATATTTAAAAATAAACATTATTAAAAAAGGCGGGCTTGGGCCGGGCCTATGGTTATAAAAAACCCGTCGGACCGGGCTTGGGCTTTGCCTATCATACCCGTAGCGGGCTCGGGCCGGGCTTGGGCCTGTGTCATGAGGTCGAGCTTGGGCTTGGGCCAAGGGGTACCCGGTCCCGGCCCGGCCCATTGCCATCACTACCAGTGCCCGTCTGCACCTTAAGGGTGCCTTGAACTTGAACCTCAATAGTAGTCTTGCAAGAGCCCTCTAAGGTCACTGGACTTTCACTTTTGGAATCAACACTTTGCTTGGGCTTTTTTCCACGTTTTCTTTTTCCTTGTGATTTTCGAGAAGCTTTTTCCAGATTATCTTTTGACTCTTCTTTTGTAATAGATTTTGTTGGACTGTGAATGAATAATGAAGCAAATTGTTTTTATTTTATAATGCAATGCAACTTTTTAGATTATTTTAGAGATGAGTTTGAATTTCTATGAATATCTACTAAATAGTTTTATTAATTTGGTCTTTTTTTACCTTTTACATGTTCAAATAGAATATACCGTGGTCCGTGAGAAAA